ACAAGAGACTGGACAAACACTTTCTGTATACAGAGCTCGGGGTTGTATTGACAAAGTGCCAGCACCTTCTCCATACACAAAAGCCGAAACCTGAAACCCTTTGTACCATTGGGCCTCACCTTGTAGATGGTCTTGAAAGATGACTTTGGTGGAGCTACATGGCCTGAGTTCACCAAGTGATCGAGAATTGAGCCAGTGATTGTTTGACATTGGCCCTTTGCTAACCGTGCCGGATAATGTTCAGAAATGCGTTTAGAAATTGTGGTCTTTGTGCGGCCAATATAACTGACTCCACAGGAGAAGGTGAATTTATAAACACACATTGAGGTGGCCCAAGTCGGCAGTTTATCTTTCACACATCCATTGATCATTTGTCGGCTGTAGAAATTGATATGTAGCTCAGCCATAAAGAAGGCTTTCCTCAGTGATCTGCATAAGCGATTCTGCAGGATTTCATCTGTGGTATCACCTTTAAATTCAACACTCATAAATAGCAGTTTCTTCGGCACCGTCTGGATTCTTTCAAGCTTTTGCTTGAACTTCATGTTTTTGTCGATAAATCTTGGATGATGTCCATTCGATAGCTTGATGGCAGTTGTTGAACTCTTTAGTTATGAATTCGATGTCGGTATTCTCGTCACGTATGATGTAAGCGTCATCCATATATCTTTGGTACCAATGGAAACTATCGATCGAAGGCCGTAACACACTGTTTCCAAAACTTTCCAAGAAGCAATCTGCAAAAATAGGTCCCAATGGCGACCCCACTGCCACTTCATATCTTTGTCTATAAATCCTGTTGTTCAACCTGAATAGGACATTTAAAGTCCACCTCAATAGTAGTTCCTCTCAGTAGTGGATCGGAACACACACGTCTACATTATTATCCTCAATGAATTTGTATATAAAGCAAATAGTTTCAGTGAGGGGAACATTGGTGAAAAGGGACGTAACATCCATGGATATCATATGCATCCTGGATACATTAGCATCAGTTATTGAATCGACAAATTTAAGTGAATCAGAAATACTATGCCTGCAGAGATTATTTCTGATAGGTAGGAGGATGTCTGAGAGCCGTTTGGTGGTAGCATGATATAGGGAATTTTTTATTTCCAAGACTGGACGTAGTGTTACGTTCTCTTTTTTTTTACTTTAGGTAGACCATATACACGGAGAATCACGGAACCTGAGGGTCATATCAATTATGTCACTCCCTACTACTCAATAATAGACTACCGTACATTTTCGGTAAATATAAATATGACTGTATAGCCTCTGAAAGAAGATGATTTCGTCGATAAAGAAACTTCTCTTCGCTGAATTTGTCCCTTATTTTCTTCAGTTAGGAAATAAATTCGGTTGGCAGCATTAGCGTCATTTAAATAACACGGAATCTGTGATATCAGTAGACTACATTTCAAAGAAATAACTAAGACAGAGAGAGACAGGTAACGTGCATCAGTACTTACCATTAAACTGACTAACTATCAGATAATTTAGGGAAATTAACACAGAATTTGTGAATCTGTAGGTTAAATAACAGGTCAAGTTAGCAATAGTGGCTGAACCAGTTACTTCTGCATACAGAGCTCTGGTTTATTAAGGTGAATTTCAACGGCCTCTAATATTTGGAGTATTCGGTATCCAGAGGTCTTTAGCAATTTGTTGGATAGTTTTGTAGCTTGTTTGGATAAGTTGTCCAATATATAAAGTGATCAGAACACCAAAGCCTATTTATTCTCCAAGTCGCAGTTAAGAATTACGTATATATCAAGCTATCCTGTGTGGATGGTTATAGCAGCTTGATAACTAGAAAAATACTAAATTCTGCATGTCGTAAAAGACTTTTTATGCAGCAAACATCTGAATAATTGACTGACTGATTTCAACCTAGAATTTTGCAGGGATGTGCGGCAGTTTGAGTTGCCACACTCCCTCCATGTAGCACACAAAGCAAGAGAAGAAAGTAAAGATGGATTCAAAAGAGAGATAATAAAAAGGGGAAAAGAATGTTAATATGGAAGAACAATAGGAGTATATTTGATACGATAAATCATAAAGAGTGAATGCATCTTTGTCATAATCAAGAACGATTCTAAGTCATATCACCAATTGTCTATGCCACTGGTTTCATCGTCCTGAGGACCCCATGAGGCAATCAAACTACACCTCTCCACGTTAATTAAATTAACTGTTATGAATTTCACTGACTGATGAAGCCATGTTTTCTTTTGACCATCACTAGCTAACTCTTTTCCAACCTGATATATTCTCTGTCAACTAACACTCGCCGTGTCGAGGAATGCGTTCATTGGCTAGGCACGCGTAGCACATGTCCTAACCATCTCGGTCTGTGTAACTTCACAATTTCGTTTATGGGTTTCCCCTCCTACCTACCTATCACTCGACAGATGCATGGACTCAATACTGCTCAGTGTATAATACCGCCTAACCCACACGGGAGATAGAAAGCAGGTATCTATGATCAAAGACAGCTGGTCCGGATTTTCATGTCTTCCACTATCAGCAGCTATGTCTCACAGCCACAGGGGGGAGGACGGAGAGAGATGTTGATTAGTACAAATGTCCTATGGTCAACAATTGATTATCACGTTAACGACAACGACGGCGTAAATTGGCATATACGAAACGAGCCTTCTGTATTTGTTCTGAGATTTCATCAGCGATCAAACTGTTGGGGCTGATGCAACTTCACAGATAAGTGAAGTGGTCAACACGCTCTATCACTCCACTCCTGCCTACCTTTAAGCTACGAATCAATGTAGTTCAGTCGTGTAGCATCATCTTACATTTGACAGGAGAGAATCGCATGCCAAAAACTCGAATATTGCTGCCTGTCAAGGTGTTCAGAAGATTCTGCATTTTGTTAGCACTTCCACCTAGAAGGACTATACCATCTGCATATTCTAAGTCAACGAGATTATTCCCTCCCTGGTAACAAGTCAATCCCTGAGTTACTGAATTCAGTTAGGGTTAAGTTCATTAATACATCTATGTTGAAATGAAAAAGAAATGGAGACGGTATGGAGACGACATCCTTGATGGACACCACTAATTGTCAACACTTCAGATGACAACTTTCCGTAGGCTCTCACTTGGCTGACTGCATGAGTTCAAGTAGAGTGCCTTGATCAGTGAGATGTATTTTCTCGACATTCTCTTCACAGCTAAACATTGCCACAGTACCTGTGAGTCTACAGAATCGAATGCCGTCTTTAGGTCAAGAAAAATGACAATTATTGGACGCTGGTAGTGAGCATGCCTTTGTTCCAGAATCTGTCGAAGAATGAAGTTATGATCGCTACACCGTCTTCCTGTTGTCTAAAGCCTGTGTGTTTCCTTCTCCGAATAATTGAGAATGTGAAGCGTATATATCTATCTTAGTCCTGAGAAAATACACTGCATCTACCAATTTAAATGTACGTGTAGTCTCACAAGCAAATATGGGGAGGACTCATCTATCTTTGTAAGTAATGTCCTGAAGGCATATTCCTAAATGGTTTATAAAACAGATGGAATCTCCTGAACCCATCATTTCACTGTGAAAAATATTACAGACACAGGACATAAAACTGATGATAACATTCCTCTTGTAATTCCATATTAGTTTGTGTATTAGATGTATCACACAGTTAGTGAAACAGTATTATTATTTACTGGATGACACAGTTTCGAACAAAATTTATTACTGTTCATAATCATGCCATCAGTTGTAATCACACGACTTTGAAACTTGAGGTTTACAGTTTTCTCTGTCCTCTCCTAATTGTCGTCGTGGGGTTAGTAGAAGTTTTCCAGATATCCGCCTGGACAGGTGTTGAATAATTCCTATCACACGTATTCACTCCCAGTTGATTCTATAAACAAAGCTTCTGTCATCAATCTCTCCCTTCATTCACCCTGTGACATTCGATTTTAAAAGTGTCATCCTATCCCATCCAGCCTATTGTATGGTTGTGTGTAATTGCATGTGGTGTAGTGCTATAGCTGAACTATTCTCTAGATTGGTTGTAGATTGGATTTATCCGAACAAGATAAGAAATCTAGAGAATAGTTCAGCTATAGCACTACACCACATGCAATTACACACAACCATACAAAAGGCTGGATGGGATAAGATGACACTTTTAAAAACGAATGTCACAGGGTGGAGGGAGAGATTGATAACAAAAGCTTTGTTTATCGAATCAATTGCAAATACATGTTATAGGAATGATTCAAAGCCGTGTAATTACAATTGAAGATATGATTATGAACAATGATAAATTATGTTAGAAACCTTGTTATCCAGTAAATGATACTGTTTCACTCATTGTGTGATACATCTAATAAACAAACTAATATGAAAGTTATTGAATTGAATTTTTGATTTTCCCGTCGATTGATTAGACCGAAAAGCTCGGTCTCAGGTTGACATGTCGGCTTCTTGTGCAGATGCTTCGACGATGTCTGGAGATTTGATTTGTATACAATTGGTGGATGGTAACTAACAGTGGAATCCAGGATGCGCATTTCGTCCTAATTGGGACTCGTCACTGAATGTACCTGCATTTCTCAGTGAGTGATGATGTTCCCACCAAGGCTCGAACCCAGTACCCATAGTTTCAAACGCTAAAGCGTTATCCACTAGACCACTTGGGCCACGAGAGCCACCTCTTGTGCAACGGGTCATATTAATTATTGAATTGAATTTTTGACGTTTGGCGTTTGAAACTATGGGCACTGGGTTCGAGCTTTGGTGGGAACATCATCACTCACTGAGAAATGCAGGTACATCCAGCTGACGAGTCCCAATTAGGACGAAATGCGCATCCTGGATTCCACTGCTAGCCACCATCCACCAGTTGTATAATATGAAAGTTCTTTGAACTGCTTTTCTCAACTTGTTGGTTATTATCTCATTTCCATTCATATCACTTTTGAGTTGTGGTCATATTCATATATAAAGGCGTCTTTATTATTCTCTTTTTTTTCAGATCAAACAAATCTTGGAAGCGATCAAAAAGCTCAACAAGAAAATGGTTCTCATATAATGACAAGAAGTAATATTGCTCCTCTGTTAAGTTCATCCCCTTTAAATACAAACATTAACAGTGAATTACATTCACGAAACTCCTATCCTGTCAACATTGTACATGATTCTAGTCATCAACACCAACATCCTCATCAATTACACAAACGTTATACATGCCCTGATTCCACTCTGAATAGGAATATACCACCTGTAAATACCGCATATCGTGTTGATCAGCTCTGTAGATCTATACCTTTGTCTTCTGGCGGTGGAATCATACAGCAATCGTTGCCGACAACAACTACGCCGACATCTGTTTCATGGTTACCCTCATTGAGTGTTCAGCATAGACATTCTGCATCATTGTGCACATCATCAACAACTGGTGACACTGATGTACAACATAGCACAATAAGAAGTCCTATCAACCAACCTGCGACTACTATTATCACGAATAGTGGTACTACTTTTACGCCTATGTCGAATATTTCGAACGCGTCTAACAACACTGTACAAACTCGTAGTAGTTCAAATGTTAGTTATTCAACAACAGCGCCAACAACATCAGCAATGCCTACAACAGCAACGACGACACCAGATATTAATGTAGTCACGAGTCCTACATCTACCCAACATCCAACAAGTCCATCATTTTCAATGTTACACAGATTTAGTAGTAATATGGGTTTGTTGAACTCATTGAATACAACTGCCACTTGTAATACAGATAAAACAGATTATGGGAATTTAGATTTTCGTTTAATATGGGAACCTAAAAATGGTCAACCGACAAGTATATGGCTTGTTGCGTCAACACTGCAAGAAAAAGCAGCTTGGTGTTCAGATATTAGTCAAGTGAGTTTGTAAAAAAAATATGATATAATTTTGATTATATGTGAATTAAGATAAAGTTAAAATTTAATTTGTGGATGGTGACTAGCAGTGGAATCCAGGATGCGCATTTCGTCCTATTTTGGACTCGTCATCTGGATGTACCTGCATTTCCCAGTGAGTGGTGATGTTCCCCGCACCGAGGCTCGAACCCAGTGCCCTTAGTTTCAAACGCCAAAGCGTTAAATGAAATTAAGATAAAGTTAGTTTGAAGTAATTTGGTCGGTGTTAGCTGAAACAGGACGTGCATTTCGTCCTGTCTGGGACTCATCAGTCGCTGGATGCATCTACATTCCATCTAGAAATTGGTTGTGTTCCCCACACTGAAACTCGTTATACCCACGCGAAAGCAATATCCAGTATGTCATTTGGACAAAAAGAGTTACCGCTTTCTTGCGCAACAGGTATTAATAATTATTTAATTGAATTTGGACTTTCCTGTTGATTGGTTGGACCGAAGTGTTCGGTCTCAGATTGACATGTCGGGCTTCTTGTGGGAGGTAACTAATAGCATTGGAGGAATCTATCAGAATGGACATTTCATCCTTTACTTGTGGGACTCGTCAGCAGTGGAGTGAGTGAATCAGCAGTCTGATTAAAACTTGGGCTACTGAAAACCTCCATCATTATATTTTGTATATAATTTCTGTTATTCAGCTTCTTTCAGCCTAATGAAGGTTAACCTCCTCCAAGTCACCCTTCCACTAACGACCAACGCGCCACTTCCCTTTCGGGTTTCACTCGAGCGATGGTTTGTCTAGTGATGTCAATTGATGGTTTCCTCAGAGCATAGCCACCAATCCATCTCAATTTCTTCCTGCGTATTTGTTCCACAATCAGTTCCTCGTTGTTTCGCTCATTGCCAGAGTTCCCTGTTGCTGATCTTTTCTGGCCAGCCATCTGATCTTCAGAAGTACTGAGCAAAGACAACTGTTTATGGAGGTCTGTAGTTTTTTTGAGGTGCTCCTCATGACGCGCTGGCCAAGTCTCTGATCCGTCTAGTAAGTACAACTGACTTCACATTGTAGTTGAAAATCCGGATCTTATTTTTGATGCTGAATGCTGTTAACCTCCACACAGACTTGAGAGTAATGAAAGCTTGTCTCGCTTTTCCGATCCTCGCTGCTTTGATATTCTCGTCAGTTCCGTCCGTCTGTAGTTGAAATAATGCTTCCCAGGTAGGTAAAGGAGGTAATTTCTTTCAGGTTCCTTCCATTTATGCCGGCTGATTGTTGTCTGTTGTTGTTGTTGCTGCTGTTGGTGTTGGCCAGGAATCTTCATCAGCTCTGCTCTGTTTTCTCTATGTTTACTTGGAGACCTATATTTGATGTCCACCTTTTCTGCCAGCTTGTTGCTTTTCGCTTGCATATCTTCTAGTGTTTGTGGAAAATAAGAGATATATCATCGGTGATCGATATATACTGTCCACTTTATCTTTCACTTGGAGATCCTGGACGAAGAGAAAGTAACATGCAATAAACTATGTTGAAAATTCTGTACATTATATTGATCACTGTTCAGAATGAAGCCATTATTATATTATTATGGTTTTGCATACACTGATGCTCACAGAACCCAGTCAGCTCATCGTTACAAACATGTGGAAGTATGTTATCCATCTGACCGGTTGAACCAAAAGAGCTGAAAGATGAAGTGGTCAGAAAAAATAATAAAATAATTTGAACAATTATAATTTTTATAATTTTCAAAGATTTAGGGGGTAGAGGACGAAATAGTCGGTCTGTTTATACATTCATGTAACGATAGCCAAGGTCAAGAAAGTTGCAGTATGAATTTCTTCTGAACACCTATAGGTTTGGATTCTTCTTCTTCTTCAGGTGGATTCCTATTGCTACGGCTGTTGTATGTAGAAGACGAACTCGTAGAGCAAAATTAAGATTAGTAGAAATTCGATAGATAATTTTAAATGTTGTATTAACATCAACCTTATGCTCACTATCTACAAGGTGTGCTAAAACAGAGCTAGCTACGAATAGATCTTATTTGTCCCTGTAGCTGTGGAGCCAGCTACATTAGGCGTACAATTAGGCAGGTTCATCATCGTATTTCCGAATATCATCCAGCATGGTTAAGCAAGGGGCAAACATGATCTATTCGTAGCTCTAGTTTAGCACACCTTGTAGATAGTGAGCATAAGGTTGACGTTAATACTGTACTTAGAATTATTTATCGCATTCCTAATAATCTTAATTTTGCTCTGCGAGTTCGTCTTCTACATACGACAGCTGAGGCATTAGGAATCCACCTGGAGAAGAAGAATCCAAACCTGTAGGTGTTCAGAAGAAATTTGTACAGCCATTTTCCTTACCATGGCTATCGTTACATGAATGTATAAACCGGAATACTTCATCCCCCCCTAAGCTTTCTAAATATTATAAAAATTATAATTGTCCAAATTATTTTATTTTTCAAGTATTGGTTTGTAGGGATTTAGTTGATTGATTACAGGATTTCATTCATGAGCTGACATTAGTTAGTGAACAATTGGAAAACCTGCGACAGCTGTTTCGTCAGCCTAGTGTGGGACTTTTCAGCAGTACGTACCCACCACAGGAGTTCGAACCTAGGACCTTGTGGTTACCAGGCGAGGTCGTGGACCATTAGGCCACTTGGATCTGGTCCAATGGTCCATGAATTCTACCTTCTGCCAATTTACGATATAGCGCAACCGCTAACCTATGTCTTCAGCGAGTATTTGTCCTCACAACCGACTTGCTGCACCCTCCTGGTCACGACTTCTCACTAGAACCCCAGGTAACTTATTATTATTATTATTGCTCCCTTGGGTTCCTAGGGGAACATAGGGCTTCAACTAAACGTCTCCATTTTCTTCTGTCTTCTGCTATACTTTTGGCCTGCATCCATGTTAATCCATATTCTTTCAACTCCTCTTCACGCGATCTCCTCCATGTCACCCTTGCACTGACGTCCCACACGCCGCTTCCCTTTCGGGTTCCACTCGAGGGCTTGGCGCGCGATGTCTCTCAGCGGTCTCCTCAGCGAGTGTCCGATCCATCTAAACTTTCTCCTGCATATTTGTTGGGCGATTGGTTCTTGTTTTGTTTGTTAGTGCCCATAGTTTCTTGTTGGTGATTCTTTCCGGCCCGGCCATCTGATCTTCAGTATTGAGCGAAGACAGTTGTTAATAAAGGTCTGCAACAGGCTGTTGGAAATATTCGTTGTGACCCGCCCGCCAAGTTTCTGATCCGTATAGAAGAACTGACTGACTTTACGTTTGCATTGAAAATCCGACCGAATTTTGTTGTTGATGCAGGCTAAGTGACGAATATTTCCAGATTGATTTCAGGTTGATGAATGTGTTTCTCGCCTTCCCGCCGATTCTCGATTTGACATCCTCGTCCGCTCCTCCTATAGTTGAGACAATACTCCCAAGATAAGTGAATGAAGTAACCTCTTTCAAATCCCTCCCGTTGATGGTGATTGACGTTGGATGCTGTTGCTGTTGTTGGTTGGTTATTTTCATAACCTCCGTCTTGTCTATGTTTACCTGGAGTCCTGTCTTCGCAGGCTGCTTCTTCGACCAGTTTGTCGGTCGGTTTTCGCTTGTCAGTCTTGGATTTTGTGACAGTGTCATCAAACATAAATCATCCGCAAAATCCCGGTCTTCTAGGTTCTTCACGTCGGTCCAGGATATTCCTGTCTTCTCGTTCCCCACTCACTGTCTGACATATAATCCAGTCCACCACAATTAGGAATATCATTGGTGATAGTAAGCACCCTTGTCTGACTCCTGTGTTTACTCCAAACGCCTCGCTGAGTCTTCCGTTGTGGATCACTTGGCAGGTGCCGTTGTCGTACAGCTGTTGAACAAGGTTGATAAATATTTTGGGTACGCCATAGTGCTCGAGTAATTTCCAAATTACTTGGCGGTCAACGCTGTCTGTCGAAGGCCTTCTCAAAGTCTATAAAGTTGAGGTACAGGGAGGTTTGATTGCCATTCCATGCTTTGTTCGATGATGATGTGTAGAGTTGCAATTTGGTCAGTACATGATTTGCCTTTCCTGAATCCAGCTTGTTCTGGTGGGGCGGAGTTCTGTCTCCAGTGCGTCCTTTAATCTCTCCAGGATGATGCGACTCAGGGTCTTACTTGGCGTCGATAGGTAACTGCCTACCTGAATAAGGCCAGTAGCTAGTGAGCATCTCATTGATATTCAAGTATTGGTTTGTCGGAATTTGGTTGATTGGTTTCAGGATTTCATCATGATCTGATATTGGTTAGAGAACCATTGGAAAACCAGCTGTGAATACTGGACAGCTGTTTCATCCTAGTTTGGGATTCTTTTTTTTCTGATCACTTCATCTTTAATTACGTGTTATCCTTGTAAAATTAACTTATTTTTCTATTCAGTTTTTCGAAAAGTCAACCAGCTGACCGAAGAAATATGCATTCCTTTTCAGTCAGTAGTTCCTCATCATCGGTTGACTCTACAATAATATGTAGTTTTTGAAATGAATGTTACACCATTTTCATGTGGTTATTTTCGTCCATCAATCTGAGGTACAGTCTGGAGCGGTGGTTGAGTGAAAACATGATATTCAAGGTTATAAAATAGTAGATATTGGCAACAGCATATCTAATTTTTGAGATGGAATGGTTAGTGTTGACAAGGTGTTCGATTATCGTATTCTTTATAGGGCCCCTACTACCCTTTTTTGAAGTCATGAGGAGTAGCGTTCTCAAACTTTTTTTGGACAGGATACGCGTCAAAATCGACTTCGAATCAGGTTTCGCCAATGTTTCCCTAACAAAAATGTCTTATATATTTAAAAGAACTGCTTCTTAGATGTACTCTGAATGTACACTTCACTTTTAGTGACACCATCTACAGGCAAAATGACGGTACTGCAATGGGATCTCTCTTGGATTCATTACTAGCAGACTGTTTTATGCCTAGTCTTTAGAATGGTTCATTAAAGCCTTC